CCCCCCCCAAAACCACACACACAAATATATTTGCACAAATACCCACAGGCACACAAATCAAACTTTACAAATAAAGGCAATATAAACAGTAGGGGGCCGCAACGAAAACAAACTTCAAAATTCAAGTTAAATGACAACTGACTCGTCTAACAACAATCAACCTAACTCCACAAAAGTAAGAAAGAACACACCTGTGGGTGGCATACTGTGACTGACCGGGAGAGGTAAACAAAAGACGATCTGACCACAGCACAATTCCGTCACAACATCTGTTGGGTGTACTTAAAGAGTTCACTGATAGGAAACACGACAACGATCCCATTTCACCCACAACATAATAAATAATACAGTTGAACCAGCTCTAAGTCTAACAGCCACCTGCTGTACAAGACAATCATCTGTACAAGTGACTACTTCCCACCTTGCATTTTTTAAAAAGCATAATGACATTGTTCATTGTCCAAGACTCAAGACGTGCAAGTCTATGACTTTTCTCCTTGACATTGAGTAGCTGTGTTGGGCAATATCGACTGTAAAAATAAGGACAACTGTTGTATAAAATCATGGGAGAAAAAAAAGGCAGAGAGAGCAAACCGTCCACCCTCATTTATATTAGGACAATAGCAACTATAACACTGACAAAACCTGCGAGAAGGTGCAGAAAGCTGTTTTACAGCCAAACAATATGCAAAAAACTACTCAAGAAAGATAAAGCTTTTCATACATGTTATGACTTCAGTTCCAACAGATTCACTCCAACATAGCCTTTTTCACATATAATATATACAAATTAATAGGCCAAATCTGAGGACACCCAAAGGCTGCCAATTATTCCTTGCTTGCCTGCTCTGCCCCTTAAGGAACAGGCCTCTCCCCCTTCTCTCAAACACACATATGCACAAAGAAAATACTCCACAGACAGTTACGCCAAGTCTGGGCACACCATCATGTGAAACAACTCAACAGTTACGCCACACCTGGACACATGAAACAACACAACAGTGACACTACATCTGGACACACCATTATTTGAAACAACTCAACAGTTAAGCCACAATTGGACACATGAAACAACTCAACATTTACGTCACAACTGGACACATGAAACAACTCAACAGTGACACTACATCTGGACACACCACTGTATGGCACTAGCTTGGAGTGGAAAGACCTGAGGGAGGATGGACTACCATCCCCTCACTTTTTTCAAAATCACTGTTATGTTGTTCATTGATGGAATAGTGACAGGCCTTTCCCTGCAGTTGGTGCTTATAGTATAAAATATATTAGAAGTATTAAAAATATCTAGACAGTGAGATCAAAATCATTTTATTTTTATGGCAAGGTATATCACCACACAATATTTATACAACTCAAATCAGTGACATTTGTAGAAAAAGAAAAAGTGAACACTACAAGAACCACTTTAAAAAATGGATAATTACAGCACGTGGCAGGTAGGCACTTTTGGTATTTCCTTTTTTTCAAACCTGTTAGACATCTATTGTCTCTCTTTGACTTTAAAAATCAAGCAATATTAAATTTTCCCAATTTAAGCAAGAATGAGCTCAGAAAGTGACTTTTAGTAAGATGTTCTCTTTGACTATGAGTGGCCCTTTTTAGAGAATTTCGACTATAGAGTATACATGAATTTTAACCGAGGGATGAATAGAGGGGTGGGGGAACTGACCAACTTGCACCCCCTTCCTCTCTCAACTTAGCTATCTCTCCCCCTCACACACACAACAGCAACCAAAAAAAAAAAAAGAAAAGTAAACTTAAGGGACCCCCCCCCCCTTAAAAAAACAACAACAACAAAAACAAAAAACAACCAAAACCAAAAAACTAACAAACAAATCCCCCCCCCAATAAAAAACCCAAAACAAAACAACAACAAACCCCCGACCAAACAAACAAAGGAGAAGCAAAGAGAAAGATCAGTTCAAGAAAAAACAACAACAACTTGATAATAGTAAAATACAACAGGGTCATATATTGTACAGTACAAGAAGACAAGGAGACAGCAGAACACCACGCAATCATTAGGATGCGGGAAATGGGGATAGAGAGGGGAGAAGGAAGAAAGGAACGATTATCTGGAAAGGAAAGACGTCGCCATAATCAGACAGCCACCGGAACAATCAGTATGGATACCTTGCGAGCTTTGGTGCTGGGGGGAACTGAGCACTTTTGGACCTGTCCGGTGTGCAATGACGTTGTTGCCCAGGACAGGTACTACAGGTAATACTTTTCTGTGAGACTTCCTGAACATTAGTATGACGGCACGTCTTTTGCTCAGTTGGTATTTAACTGGACCACGGAGAGCATGTTTCTTCAACTTCCCAAACAGGGTGCTCTGAACTTGGGTTGTTTTGGTGAGTTTTCAAATCTCTCCACCCATTTGGCCTAATCCTATCAGAGATGAACATTTCATTCTCTTGAATAATCTTTCAATGTTGAAAGGATATTAAACCTACATAATTTCACAATTTTTCCCCATTCCTGATTATGACCAAATTTGTTGTGAACAGATTCAGATACATCATGTAAAAGTGATACTAAATAGAAGCAGACTATACTGGAACACCCACTGATCACTAGCACCGGCCTGTAAAAAAAAATATTTAAAAAAGGGGAGAAAGAGCGCAAAATATGGCAGATATCACGCAAAAGTAATCAGACAGCATGATCCCAATGCCAACCTAAACAAAATGAAAACTCACGAGTCCACACTTCACTCTCATTTTACAAGTTAAAACCAGCAAACAAGGAAAAAACAAACCCAAAACCCCAGTCTATGACACCATAAACACTTTAAAAAAAGCCTATAATAATATTTTCAGTCCTTATCTCACGTGTCACACAAAATAGACACTAATTTATAAGTCAGCAAGCACTCACAGAGGTCTCATCACCTCCTCATCTCATACCCTTTAGCGTCATTCTTTCTCCTCATGTTCCCACAAATCAAATGGAGAAATGGTAGTGAAGTACATGCACATACACACACTAAGCAGTTGTGTCATGAGTAAAGAGAAGGATATGACACAAAAACTGTCTTTTAGTACACATTCGAAAAGTAAGACGTGCAGAGAAAGGAAGGAAAGAAAAGAAACCGAACCTACAAATGGGCACTCAACAACACCCCCCGCACATATTAATGATTCCGAGTCAGAGAAGAGAGAGAGGGAGAAAGAGAGATAAGATATAAATCTTATGGGCGAATTTGTTGGACCAGAGATTGAGAGAGAGAGAAAGAGAGAGAGAGAGAGAGAGAGAGAGAGAGAGAGAGAGAGAGAGAGAGAGAAAGAGGGGAGAGAGGGAGAAAGACCGAAAGAGAGAGAGAGAGAGAGAGAGAGAGAGAGAGAAAGACAGAACAGGTAGAAAAAAAACTTACGGGTGAGGATTTATTGGACCAGGCTGGAGACGCCTGAACACCGGTGCCCTCAGCAGACGTGGACTCTTGGCGAGCAGATGTGATCGCTTGATCAGAACCGTTTTCCTCACTTCTGTAACTGGAGTCTGACGTCACTGACTGCCACTTAGTTCTTGGTGAGGAGCCACCTACTGATGAGTGGCGACGGTTGGGATTGTTACGGTCACCGGGAGACGGGAGTGAGTCAGGAATCACGTCATCAGTTTGAGAGGGCTTTCTGCTTTGAGGGTGGTCAGATGATTCTTTTGTGACGAAACCATCTTGACGAGATTGTCCCGTTGTGGCCTGACACAGAGATGAAGATGATGGCACCAACGGGGTGAAACCCTGAGGTTCGTTTCCACCAGTATTTGCACTCACCCCATCTGCTGTTGAGGCAGTTCTTTCATTATTTACAAAAGATGGCTCCAATTGGATTTCAGGAATGGCGTGAGTATCTGTCCGAGTCACTGTTGTTAACTTCCTTAGTTCACTGAAAGAAGCCTCTGTGCTACGCTTAGAAAGATCAAGGGCAGTATCTTCAAGTTGTGAAGAAAGCTTCAAGCCAAATGAATTGGCTCTATTAGATAACTGAGAATGTGAACCTGAAATTTGTTCAAAGGGTGGCCTTAGCTCATCTGACTGATTGGCGTTGTTTCCAGCTCCAGACGAAGACTGGGAAAAACGCACATTTCTAAAATCAAACTGATCTGATTTCGTTGGTGACCTCAAATAAGCATCATGTAACGAGGCAGGATATAAAGCTTCTGTAGAGAGCCTCTTTTTCGGCGGTAAGTTTTTGGTTGGGGAAGACGTTGACATGGGATAATTTCTGACAGACGTCTGTATGTTTGAAATCACCTGAGAACTTGGAACGATGTCAGGGCTGTTGGATCTATGGCCTCCTGGTGTGAGTTTTATCCCTTCTCTCTGTTGCTGTTGGTCTTCTCTGTAGTGGGTCTCAGTCTGGTTCTCACTCCTGAGTGGTTCCTGGACACTCTCATCTCCCATGCTGAACCGGAGAGCAGCAACAGCCGCGGCTGTTTCTACATCCGGTACGTTTGTGACCACTTGAGGCGAAGTATCAGAGACAGCATCAACCATTTGCTCCTGGACATTTGAGCTTTTGTCACGTAACTGGCCCTGCCCCTGCCCCTGAGTAACACCATCAACTCCATTACCCGTATTACGAGCATCTTCAGGAACATTTTTTGTATTCGAATCAGGCCCACATACGGGCACATGTGCTGCTTTCTTTGGCTCGCTTGTTGGCTCATCTCCTTGCCTGATTGGAAGTCTCAGTTTAATTTTGCCGCCCCTTTCCGTTGGATCTATCCGGTTGTGTCCTTTGAAAGGCTGTGGGGCCAATTGCTTCCTTCTTTTCCGGCCTTCCCGTTTCTCATTCACCATACCCCCTGACACAGAAGAACCAGCTGGCTCCTCGGTATGTCTGTCTTGAGCCTGGGAGAGCTGAAAACCAACACTGGCTATGATACTTTGAAGGTCAGACTTGGGGATCGATTTAACAAACGTGGACTCGGAGCATTCAAACCTTTCATTTCTATTCATGGAAACTAAAAGCTTTGTATTCCCGGGAATATGAGGAGTTTCTCCAGCATTCTTTTGAACAGCCTTCCCAGTGTCAGCTTCAGGTCTTTTTGTTTTATTAGAGGAGCTCAAACTCAAACGAGTAAACTTCCCAGGACGCCTCTGAGAACCTTGTAGATTTTTTTGTACATTGCTTTCAGCGTTTGTTTGAAGGGGTGGAGAAGGAGTATGAAATGTTGTTTCATTTTCTAATGAACTTCCCTGAGCTCTGTGATCTCCTGCAAGGCTGGTCAAGGAAACTGATTTCCTCCTCATAGCCGTACAGTAGAAAAACGACTCTTGCAAGGCTGGACCAATCTGGATAACATCCCCGCCACAATTGTCCTCTTTTACTGTCACATACTGGCTCGTAATTCGTCTTGGAGGCACACATTTTCTAGGTGCAGACTCTGCTTCATCATCGTCCATCACAACACTGGACGGGCTCAACGAGGGCGGAGGAGGTTCACCCACTTTGTTCCGTTTTCCACTTGAACCGTTTGAAAGCTTTTTTGTACGGTCTTTCAGTTTGCTTTTCTGCGACACCTTGGTTGCCTCACCAGAATACTCATCTTTATTATGAGAGTCCAAACAATCTTCCTCAACCTCAGCACTGCTCAGAGCACAGTCTGCTGCCACCTTTTCAAAAGTCTTCAGTAGAGACCTCTTCCCTTTCAAGTCGCTTTCAGAAGAGTTCAACTTTTCCTGTATTTGCTGCAATGCTGCACCTTTCTTACTAGAGCTGCCTTTCTTGAGGATATTGGAGAAGTTTACGGAGCTTGGTCCTGGAGCATTAGGGCTGTCACAGCTGTCAGATTCAACTTTCTGTCTTTTTGAGTTACAAGGTTGTTTCATCGGACTTGGATCTTCACTTTCGCGGTCCCCCATTTTCCTTTTTTTGGAGCTTCTTTGTTCAGCAGACTGATTCTGATCCCTTTTTCCAGGAGATTCAAATTGGAATTTTATAACAGATTTCGAATATTTCTTTGAACTCTGAAGTTTCTGCTTTGACGGTGTTATTGCCGACTTCGATTTCTTTTTGGAGACTAGCTTTTCTGTACTGACATTGGTTTCTTTGGAATCTTTCTCATTGCGCTTGTCTTTTGAGATGTTCTCGTTTTTCTTCTCATCCTTGCCTTGGTGTTTGGATAAACCTGTCTTACCTTTAGAGCCAGAGCCCTTTTTGCGTCCCGACATTTTGTTTTCTGAATCGCCTGGCTTTTTCACTGACAAGTCCATTGGGCTTAATCCACCAGAAATATTACCCTGATCAAGTGTTTTCTCTCCCTTTGAAGCCTGCTTGTCCTGTTTCGACACATCACTTGCACTAGTTACTTTAGGGTTGTTCTTTGGACTGATTTTCGCCATTTCTGCTTTCTTCCCGATACTCAGCACTTTCTTTGCTTTCTGAACAGTTGAATCTGATTTGTTCAGAGGTCCTTGTCCCTTGCCAGGGCTAGCTGACAAACTTTTCGATGCCGGTTTCTCTCCTGGGTCCTTTGAAACAGACCGTATCTTTTCTGCCGACTTCTGTTTCGTATTGCTTTTCTTACGTGACCTTTTCGTCGTTTCTCTTGCGCTGAGCATTTCTTCCTCTGTCAGATTGTCTGAACCAACAGAACTCACTGGGGGCACAAAATCCTCTTCTAAATCTGGCCAGGGAACATTCATTTTTGCACAGCTCGGTTTTTCCGTTGAAGACTGTGTTAACACTTTACTTTTATGATTACTGTTGGTGGTGACAAGAGGAGTGCCTACTTCGTCAGCAGGAGTCTCAACAAATCTTGAGACATCAGAGCTGTTTACCGGAATAGCTGGACTAAGCATAGACGAGGTTACACTCGTTGGATTGACACACAAGCTCAGTCCATGAGGATTCTCTTGCTGGTACTGAACCTGCACTTCCTGAGCACTACTCAAGTGCGCGACGCCTGGACTACTGGTGTGTTCAGAAACTGGCGACGCTGTGTTTGTCCCAGGGACAACATCCTGGAGGAGTTCCTGGTAGTCTGGGGGTAACACAATGACTAACTGCTGGTTGTCTCCTGTGACGACATGTATATCCTTCAGCACTGTGTTACACACCACACCAGGGAGAGGTTTGGGTAAAATTTTGGGGAAGTTGTTTGCGTTGCTAAGCTGCTGAAGTTGTATTTTCTCCAATTCAGTTTCTGTTGTGCTTTTCTCCACCAGCTTTGGTACGATGAAGCAAGATTTCCTTGCTTGAGACTCAGATGTGTTTGTCAGAGACTTCTTGGATCGTCTGCTAGACCTCACAGATTTGGCTGCTTGGGGAGCAGATGTCACTGAACAAACACCAGATGTTCTCGGATGAGGTGAAAATTGTCCGCTTTGTTCAAGCATGCCCACAGACATTTCGTGTCCCCAGGAATTTTTTTCATAAGAAGGTCCACCATTATCTTTTGACGTCTCTATGTGGAAATCCCCCGAGGCATTGACATTGTCTTGACCAGCGGGCAGTGACAAAACAGGACTCCTGTGACTGATGTCCTCCAGGTGTACCTCTTCACCCTGAGACTCCTGTAATGTTTGAGAACTAACTGTTAATGGTAAAGGATAAGAATAATCATGGTTTGCTCCTCCGTCGGTGTACCTAGAGCTATCCACAGCGAGGCCTTGCTCTGGGAAAGATGAAGTCTGGATGGGAAACTGCTCGGGTGGAATATTATGAGCCACTCTCAGAGCCCCCGAGATGAAACCCGACAGACTCTGCTCATTCGTCATGAGGGAACTGACATTTGCCGGAGTCACGGGCTGGTTTAGCAACGACGTAAACGGTCCAGACGCCGAAATCTGCGCTTCAGATGCGGATGCTGTTGAGTATGTGGTCGTAGGTGGTGCAACAGACGAGCATGATGCAGCAACACAAGTCACAGAAGGTAAAGGTGTAACATAATTTTCCGAGGCATAGACTGATTCAGGAGCCTCAGTAAAATTCGGAAGGTTCTCAGCATGCAGCTCACTAACCTGCCCTGCCTTGGTTCCATTTTCTTCACGTAACGAACTATCACGCTTAGCAGCAGCATCAGAACAGAACTCGATTACCCCAACGGCTGCAAAAGATGAATTCCTACTGCTGTCTGACTGAGAAAGAGACATGAGGCTCTCTTTTCTTAAGTAGTTCAATACAGCGGAGCCCTCAACTGCCGATGAAGTTTCCAGACAATTTACCTTGGGATCTTCTTGCTGCTGTTGTCTCACCTCATCTGTAGATGTTCTACCTGCACCTTCATTTCGTTCACTTTCTTTTTCTTCACCAGCTTGTGAGGCATTAGATGGAGGCCTTTCAGTCACACAGCAAGATAAATTATCAGTCAATATCTTTTCTGCTGATGAAGTTTCTGGACAATTAAGACTGGGATCTTCTTGCTGTGGTGTTCTTATCCCATCAGCAGATGTTATCCTTGGGCAGTCATTGTGTTCACTTTCTTTCTCTCCATCAGCTTGTGAGGTATTATTAGAGGGGGGCTTTTCAGCCAAACCATAAGACACACGATCAGTCAATACTTTTTCAGACACAAAATGAACAGGAATGTCAGTTGTTGGTGTTATCCTTTCGGTGACTTCTCGGCTGGCCGGAGTCTTGTCTCTGCCTTCGAGTACAGTGGCCAGCAGTGCCCTTTGTAATTTCCCTTTTCGGTGTTTGCAAGTGTCGATGGAAGAACACCTGCACTTGGAGGGCTTCCGGCTGGGACTGGTGGACGTTATTTCCTGCTGCGGCTGGGGCTTGCTGTACGACGTTGACAGGAAAGATTTGAGCTGCCGGAACGCTTCCTCCTCAGATTGAGACGCTGTTGTCATATCTGAGGAGCTGCTGACGGTCTTCGCATCATCGAAATGAAAGTCTGTTGACATCTTTCGAAGGAATGAAGATCCTGAAAAAAAAAAAGCCCAAACAGATTCAGATTACAAATAAATCCATGTGTTTGAGCCTGGGTTTAAGTTAGTAAAGTGATTTTTGTTTTAGTAGAGGTTTTACAGCGCTTGAAACTGCATAAGGTCATATGAGTGCCAGAAGATTAGAGGTGTTACAAGAGAGTAATAAACATAAAAAATAAGAAAGGGAGATAAGGACGATAGATGTTTGATAGGACAGAAGGAGAAAAACCACACCAGAGCACCCGCCAACCACCCACAAAGTGATTTTAACACATCTCTACCACAGTGGGTTGCTACAGAGACATGACCTCCAAACCAAGAATATCCTTCACAGAAAAAGGCAGATCTTCACTCTTCCAATACTGACGTTCTGAAAGGACAAACCCATAGCCACGACGTTCTGTACATTGAAGGGATATAATTCAATTTCAATACATACAAACACACATTATTGTTGCATAACTGCATCATCAGATAAAAAAATGCTTCTGAAATGAAAGAAAGACATATTTCTAGTAACGACATAGTGACAACATACAGATTTAACAACACAAAATGGGATAAAATTGACAGGAAATGAAAAACATGAAGGGGTTCATTGGTTTTATAACTACAGCAACCTATCTTTTATCTCCAAGTATTTCTTTGCATTCGAACAATCACAAGTGACTGCAAACTGAACAAGACACAAATAGTGTCATCTGTCAGGAACAAGTTTTGTCAGCACCTTTCTATGATTTACGGCATGTCTTTTGGAGTAACTTAAAAAAGTATAGGCTTTCTTAGTTTTCAAACTACAGTCACAGTGTTCATTGTTCAACACAATCTCATTATTACATGTTGTACAGTTGTAACAATGAAGCTCACTCCTTCGTCATTTTCATTTTCTTGAGAATTTGTCAGGCTTTTTTTCATGTTGCTCTACTCTTCTGAAAGGGTATGATTTCTCATAGCTTATAATTTTTTATGAACCCAATTCAAGAAATGTTGGGCCATGCCCTTGAAGACAGCTAAACTTAAAGACTTAGTATGCAAAAAGGGAACTATTTTTATACAAAGGTGACAGAAAAAAAGACAATTAAAATTCATGAAAAATTTAAGATGGTGGATGTGTCCCCCCCCTAAAATGGTTTTTCTTTTCTGTCACCTTGGTGAGTGAATGCTTTCTGGTTGTTTTCCTAAATCTTGTTCATCATAATATCATCAATTCATTTAAGAATACTGGACCCAGATGGTACCTACCACTCCCCCCCCCCCCAAAAAAAAAAATGCAAAAAAAAAGAAATAACAAATTGTACAGTTTTCACTACAGAGTAAAAGTAAAAGAACACCCCCCAAAAAAATTGTACCCAATGTTACTTAGCATAATCCCTCTGAAGCAGATGACCCCCCTTCCCCAAACCCAAGAATTAATTTTATAAAAAGGTTCTTTTTTTACTTCATCATTGTTGATGAGGACTCTATTCTAGCAAAAAACCCAGTAGTAAATCTGAACATTTTGTATACCCACAAAAACTGCATCCCCCCCCCCCCCCCCCCCCCCCTTCCACAAAAGCTGACCTCTTTATAAAAAACTCACCAAATCCTTTCACAGTTCTCAGCTGGGTCGGCACCAATCTCCGTGGCTTGCGCCTGGATGGACTGAGGGGCATCCGGATACCAAGTTTTTCTAGAGCAGACGAGGACTCCGACACATGGCGCTGAAACGATTTGCTGGTTTTACTGCTGCCCGGTTCAACCACCTCTCCAACCCTCTCCAGAGGGGAAGGCGGCTCTGACGGAGGCCCGTCTATGACAAAGTTCATTGGGCTGGCCGGCAGTTCTTGCAGAGGAGATGGCGTGGAGTAGGAAACTTCTATCGGAGCAATCCTACGAGATGGCACCTTCTTGCAATGCTCTGGAATGAATGGCGTGTGACCTCGGTTGACAGAAAAGACGCTCTTAGCCCTGCCTGTGTCCAAACGGACCGTGCTAGCGCTAGTCCACAGAAAACTGTCTGGTTTTTCTGACTGATCAATCAGAGCTCTGAACGCTGACCGAGGAGATTTAAAAACATCGTCGTCCAAAGGTTTAGCCCAGTCTGCAGGAAGGCTGGTGGACATTAACTGAGCCGTTGTGATCTGCTTCGGAGACGTTCCGTCTCTTGCGCCTGGAGGGGAGCTCAAGGTCACACTGCATCCATAGTGCCCCGAATTCTCAACACACTTTACAGTTTTGGAGGTACAATTTAGTTTACTATCACTTTTCAGATTTTCTAAACTTTTGCCAAAGTTTGACATTTTTCCTTTTCCACTGCCTCGCTCAAAAGAGGAAGGAAACAAAGGAAGTCTCCTTGGTTCACAAGACTGACCCACTCTGTCGACACTAGAACTAGATTTGGCACTTTCTTTGCCTGATAACTCTCTGTTATCAAGATTGCTTCTTCTTTCCTGAGATGATATGGCACCCTCCTGCTGCTTTCTGACATCATTATCATTATGAGACGAAGAAGACAAAGAATCTGAGTCACGATTTGGTTCGTCAACAAAGTCTGGGGAAGACGGAACTTCATCCATGTGATCAGGACTTGGTATTCTATCGCTTGCATCCTCTGATGTTTTATCAACAGGAGACCTTACATCCTGATGAGATTGCGAAGGGGCCCCTGAACTTCTGACTGATTTTTCATCAGCATCTGTATAACATACTGTTTTAAAAGTAGTCGAACATTTAGGATTAACAGCCACAGAATCCGAAGTCTCCAAAGAGGAAGCAAAGACTCCACTGAAGCTGTTTTCCTCTCTGTCGGTTTCAGGAACAGGTCTCACCTCGGAATGAACCTTTGAGACTGGTACCGTCGATGCCCCCTCTACCAGCCCCTCTCCCCCGACACTGTGTTGAGATGCTCTCTGTGATCTGTGCACAAATGTCTCACCCGTCATGTCTGCGACTTTCTTTTCGATTAAAGAAAAAACAGAGAGAGAATTATCATCCATGCCAAAACGTGAGTGACCAGACCCATATCTTTTTGGACTGGGCAATTTTCTTGCACTTTTAGGCTTGTTGAAAGACTCTGTTTTGGCGGAATGATCTCCAGATATATGACGGTTCTTCGATGTAGGATTTTCATGTGATATATTAACTGAAGCTGGATTTTCAACCGTCTCTGGTTCTTCACTTGCATCTTTCGCTGTTTTTAACAAACTTTGTACACTATTTTCACTTTCCACAGGGTGAGTCACAGAATCGTGTGAACCATTTTCACCCTGACTGCTAGGCACAAGCTGAAAGCCCCCACTTTCATTATTTATGACTTGATGATTAGCATCTTCAGTGATTATATCTGAACAACCTTGAGCTTGAGTTCCAGAAGGAAGTGGTACGGGTTCATGCTGATTACTAACTACTCCCTGTACAGAATAAGAATTCTCTCCCGAATCTTGCAGTCCGTGAAAGTCTCGAGACCTGCTGAGGTCAGGGTATGTTGACCCTTCACAAGGCTGACCAACTGGCGAGGTAGTCAAATGGTGCCCCTCCACAGTGGGAGGTTGTAGTGGCTGTGGCAAAGTGTCAGTTGTCGGTGGTTGTAGTGAAGTGACCATTGTGTGTGGATGAAGGGGAGTGACCATTGTATGTGGATCTAGCGAAGAAATTGTTGAGGGTGGCTGTAGCGAAGTGACCATTGCCCGTGGATGTAGCGGAGTGACCGTTGTTTGAGTGACCGCATGATGACTTCCTTCTTGGTCACCAGTGTGCAGCAACGGCTGAGATCCTGCATTCAGTTGTTCCCCTGTGCTCGGTTGTTCGTGATTGGCTGAGTATAGAGAGCTCCCCTGACCCTCGAGCGCTGTCGCTGCTGGCTGATCTGACGCCGCCGGTACATTTGCTTGATAACTGCTCCCTGTGACTTCTTGGAGAGAACCTTGTATGTCATCTGGGATGTGGGCAGTGTTGTCCAGTGGAGGTAACTCTGTGACACTGAACCCCGATACCGGGATAGCGCCATCTAAAAAGGAAGAGTGAAAGAAGCAAAGATAAGTTAAAAACTATACTAATGGCATTCAAAGCTACGAGCTAAAACAAGTTTATAATGTATTTCAAAAAAATAATTAAACCAAAACAAATCACACTGAGTTGTAGCTTGGGTAAAAGACTTCTTTAAATGCCCCCGCCTCCCCACCCCCTCCTATTCTTGAAATAAGTTAAAATAATCTTTTGCACATGATGTCATGGCCATCCCCATGTTGGCCTCACAGAAAGTGTGGACGCTGGATGTCCACAGTGAGTCGTGTAACACCTGAACAGAAGGCTGAAATAGACCTTTATTGTAACTTGTAAGGAGTCAGAACAATAATGGCCACTTTTTATCGCAAAAAGGTGATTACGATAGATGTAACATTACAAAAAAGTAAAGACCCAAACAGAGCACCCACCAACCACCGTTATTACGCAATTCAATCCCTCACATATTTTCAAACCTGGAAGAGTTCCTCTTAAAGGTTTTTTTTCTCGTGTTTTAAAATGCTCGCAACTGCATAAGGTCACATGAGCGCGTGGGACACACCAAACATTTTCAATTGGTAGGAAATTTTGAATTTGGTCCGGGTGGCGGCTGAAGCCTACTCTTATCGATTTTGGACCACCAAGGGATCTTTAATGTGTGCAACTTGCACATGGGACCTCAGAGGTTTTTTGCCCTTGTCCGAGAAGGCTAGGTGTAGATCTTTCCTACCAGAAGATCAGGGGTGCGGCTGAAAGACAGCAGTAAGAAGGAGCCAAGAAGTAGCAGTAAAAAGGCTGCAGAAAGAGTCATGAGCCCAGTGGAAGGGGCAAAGGAGGTGAAGGGGTGGGGGGAAGAAAGTGGAGACGAAAGCAGACGACAGAATATTGCAATAGAGAAGGAAAGAAGGTGAAAGGAGACAATTTTAGAAAAGAAAATGTTTCGCTCTCTACCCAGATTCGAACCCTGGACCTTTGAACAAGAGGCGAATACTTTAACCTCTAGGCCACAAGAGCCCCCCCCCCCCCCCCCCCTAAAGGATCTCACACACTTTCTGTAAAAGTAAACAAAGTGCGGTTTTACATTAGCTGACCCTACCCTATAAAATCAACTCACCATGCTGAAAGACTCTGAGAAAATTCTGGAAAGCTGGATCGGACTCTGTCATTTCCACAATGGAGTCGATGTTAATTTCTGCTTCACCCTAAAAAGACAAAATGAATAATGGAATTAGTCTCATGTAATGCTAACAACACTATTACTACCAGCAAGAGAAGTCAAAAAGTCATTCAGATTGCCATAAAATATGCCTACATGTGTGATTGTGAGCTGAATATGGCCCATTCCGGGATTCAAAATAATCCATTTATCCAAAGTCAAATCTCAATAAATACATTGCTGCACATTGGAAGCAGGTGTATATTTGACCTGTGAGTAAAAGGAAATTTTTCAAACACCATCAAATACAATTAAATAACAAAAGTAAAAAGATATGGTTTTTTTGGTGTCTCTTGGTAATTAATCCTTTCACGTGAAGGCCACTTTCGACCAATATTAAAACAAACGAAACATTTTTAAAAACTTGGATTAACTTCAGATGTATTTTTTTAAAAATTTCTTCTGGGCCTAGAACAATTGAACAGCTTGCAGATGATATGTCACATTCACAGCACCAAATCAAATAACAGACTTCGTGTCTTAACTCACTGAAGACATATCGCACACATACATCAAGTCAGCAGAGACCAAAGACAATGTTGAGGCATATTTCCAACCATTGTACGCAATCAGAAACATGAATCTGCATATTTTTAGTGCATGTGCCTGTTGCTATCTCGTTTTTAATGTTTCAAATTAAGTAAACAAAAGCGAAAGATCTGTATGAATAACGGAGCTTTTATAAAATGCCTCAAACAGGGTGTCTTCAAGCACTGCAGCATGACCAGAGTGCACGTCTTCAATGAGTCAAGTCTCTCTAGCTGGCACCTATCAAAGCAACTCAATGTTGGAGATGAATCCTGACAGTTCTAGACAAAAGGGATTCAGAAAATAAAAATAGAGGACCACTTTCTCAAGTGGACTGATCACAACACCTACCTCTTTGCCATTCTGTGCAGCAGCTTGGTTGCCACTAGTCCCCTGTTCTGTTTCTCGGACGACATGAAGAGCCTTGTTGATGGAGTCTGCAAGCTTGCTGGGAATGTCACTTTGTCGTAACACATTCTCCAAGAGATCAAACTGCAAAACAATTGAACAAATATTGTATATCATCGCATACAGGACACAGCAATTTGCCTAAACATAAAAAACCAGATTATGAAATTAGCCCCCATCTAAAAAAACAAAACAACAACAAAAATAAAAACACAGCAAAGTAAAAAACCCAAGGGGGATACCAAGAGAACAAACTTTGCAGTTCAGGTAATCGATAACCCTACAGACCAAGACCTAAGACTACAGATGAAAAACAGGTTATTTGTTTTGTTTTAGTAGAGGTTTTACGACGCTCGCAACTGCATAAGGTCATATGAACGCCAAGGAGTGGATGCCACCAGAGAAACCTTTACAGGGAATCAGACTTACTCTGCTCACCTCTCTTGCTTCAACATTACAAAGTCTGCTTCGACTATCACGGCACCCTGGAAATAGCGGGCCACAAGACTGTGACAAACATACAAAAGTAGAGGACAAATGACAATAGTAAGGATTAGGGGAAAAAAAGCAGCAGTTTCCTGTTGCAGTTCAGCCACAGTTATGAGAATGGCATAGATGAATCAGCCCATATACAATTTACAATTCTACTGTGCATAAGAACAGGTTAATGCCCCCCCTTTGGGAATGGCCTAAAGACACTTCAGTCAGTAGCACTGCCCCAGGGGGTTAAAAACAGGTCAATAAAAAAAAAAGCTGTACACTTTGGGTGAATACACCAGAACATTAAAACAAAAAATCCACATCACTCATGTTCAATGATACATATGCAACGATGCACATCTCAGTCACACATGCAAACCCAAACAGTGTGTATGTAGGCAAGAACTTTATCTCCATCTCGTGCTCACTCCTTCTCTCACACACGTACAGTGCAGCCTCCCTTAAACGACATCCTCGGGACCAGAAAAAAATGTCGTTATAGAAAGTTGTCGCTATAGAGAGGCAACCAAAAATTACTAATGATGTATAAGGAAAAAAATCGATACCTGGGCACCATGTCACTATAAAGAGGATGTCATTATATCGAAGGTCGTTAAAGAGGCTGCACAGTACTGTATGGTTTATAAACTAGAAGAGAAGAGAATATATGAAGTCGAGTCAATTCAGAAATTAAATACAGTCGAAACTGTCCCAACACGCTGTCAAGGAAAAAAGTGGTTATCTTAGACAGGTGGACGCCTTAAAAAATAATAATAAGGTTTTTACAGTGCTCGCAACTGCATACTGTCATACCAGCGCCAAGGGGTGGATATCAACAGATGACTCCAAACGGGAAATCAGGCTTACTCTGCTCACCTCTCTAGCCCCAACAGCACAAAGTCTGCTTCAACTATTAAGGCACCCCGGAAATAGCAGTTCTCAAGAGAGTGACAAACATATAAAAGAAATAGAGGAAAAATGATGATAGTAAGGATGAGGAAAGAAAAAGCAGAAGTTCCTCCTATGTTCTTTCGGCACGGCATGAGAATGACATTGATAAGTCAGCCCATTTACAATTTTTCTAATGTGCATACGAACATGTTAGTATCCCCCTCCCTAGGGGGAGTGGACGAGTTTGACAGGGTCATTATAATATATACATAAACAAAAATGCGAAGAGAGTGTGTATGTGTGCATATGTGGGAAGTGGTCATTTGTACAGGTGATTGTCTTGGGACAGGTGGCTGTTAGAGTAGGTTTGACTGTACCCAAATTTTGCTCACTTTCCAGTAACTCCATAAGCTAGTAAAAGTAAGATAATCACCTCAGGGTTGTAAGTTGAAGTACCCCACTTTGATGACCCTGGACACGCAAACTTTTCAGTTGCTGGACGTAAAGATATTGCATTATTCTGTGCTTTGTCCTGTGCACCCCCCTGAGTACAGACACTGACGACCGGAGTTCCTTCACTGTACACACACGACGGTGAGGATGTAGGAACAGCCACTGGCGTTGCACAGGTCGGTCCTGGTACATTGTCCCCTTGTTTTCTGGAAATATAATGAACCTCAATGTTTCAGACTGGAATGTAAGAAACAAAGTTTAGTATTAATAAGAGTTTTATGGCACTTGCAACACAAATAAGCCGTAAAATAAGCGCTCAAAATTCAAAGGAAGAAAATTTTGTCATTATGATTCTTTCCTTTAATATCTCTCTACTTACTTCACTTCACTACCCACATCCAAACAACTAGGTAGGGAAACCGAAACCTAGATCTTAAAATTAAATAACCCATGGGCTGCACAGAATGCAAAGGAGAAGAACAACATAATGTGCAGGATGAAGTGAGCTAAAAATTTTAAAAAAACAACAAAATCAAAACACAACCCCCCCCCCCCTAACAACAATGCAATTAGTTTCTATTGGGAGACATAGCATTGAATATAATCATTGATCAACAATCAACTTGGACAAATGTGGCAACCAAATTAAAACAAAACAAAAAAACTGTATGAATATGATATTGTAATATCCTTACTACAAAGATCTCAACACTCACAGACCTGTAGACAAAAAATAAAATGCAAGCAGAAAAGTGGGATTTTCACTTACTTTTTTCTTTTTCCTGAACTTGTTCTAGTTCCTGCAGAAACAAAAAAATAACGATCTAATGAGAAAAGGTTTTGCTGAGCCCATTTCCACCAATCTCAACATCATCTGTAGCCTACATCCCCTGCAATGCTCCTGTCATGAAAGTTATTTGAAAATTATCATTTTAACCACTCTAAACCAACTAAAAGAATAATTCTTTAAAAAAATGACATCAACGGGCTGCAACCTCTACCCCTTTAACTGTGACTTTAGATTCAAAGGCGCGTTCTCATTCAGTCATCAGTGGTAAAATATTTGAGACTTGTCATAAAAATGTTTGCATCTTGATTTTCACCTGCCAAGCAGTATCCCAGGGAAAAACAAATTAATTTATTTCGTTCAGTTCAGTTCAGCTTCAAATGGGAAGTAAGCAATCAGCGGAGACGAAAGATGTGAATGGTGGTGGCTCAAGCACAATAGACTGCAACACTGTATGTCACCTTGGAGTAATTGAACAATCATGTGAGCTTCCAGGGGGGATACAGGGCTATAAAAACGACTGAAAACTTCAAAAATAATGAAATTCAGAAAATCCCTGACCATTAGTAAGCAGAATATTTTTGTACACATAAAATTTTCAAATACTGTGATGTTGAAAAGAGAATGCATGTGTATGATAATATTTTTAAAAAGCAGCAAATCCTATTTGCAATCTCATAAGCAAAGGTGAAAAGATAAAACTTAAATAGTTTAAATATAATAGATAATTACATCTGATGTCAAATGTTCCACAGAAATATAAAGAAGAATTGCAATGGCTAAAGATGGTTTCAATAAAATGAACCCAATCCTGAGAAATAGAAATATCTTAATGACTAACAAAATGAGAATTCTGAAAGGAGATGACGAGTGGTGAACCATTCTAAGCAGCTGTAAATACTAGACAATCCCTGAAGACAGTGCAAATAAAATAAAAGCAACAGAAGTGGTTTCTTACGACACTGCTGATAATTTCTTGGAAGGTACAGAAAGCAAATGAGGTAGTACTTGAAAAAGGGCTGTTTGCGTATTAAAAACAATCAGGAAAAGACAACGTATGCAGTCTTGGGGACACTTGAACACACGAAAAGACCTGGAACATCTAGCTGTCACTGGCAAAACTGAAGTCAAAACGAGGCAGGGGTAGACCAGGAGCAACGTACTTGGATAGCTTGAACAGATGGTGTCGGGGAAAGATCAGAATAAAGAAGCTTTACAAGCAATGGTCATGAATGGGGAACCATGATTGTCAGTGTTTGTCGCATATGTAGTGCTTGATGAGGATGCAGAAAAGAAGTGGGTGGCACAGAACTGAAATACTAAAAATAACTCACTCTGCTTTCTTTGACCTTGTTTGCTTTGTCCAGCTACCGACACACTTCCAGAGACGCCGGATGTATTCGGAGTATGTGTCAGTTGCACCGGGGTCCTCGGCTGTAGCCCACTAAGAGTGTTGGAACCTACAAAAACAGAAAAATTCCAAAACCCCTTGTGTCTACTGCTACAGTCACAGAAAAACAACTAATCTTAACACAAAAATTGACTTAAGCTGATCCCCCTCACCCAAGCCATATTATATTCCTTCAACTAACTAATGAGACTAAAATATCTCATGCAGTTTCTTTTCAATTCAATTCAACACATGGATCCCAAAATGAAAATGTCTACCCTGATGAGGCCTGTCATATTCTGAAATTGCGATCATGTGAACAGAGTAACAACATTTAATAAACGCAACAGAATAAAAAAAAACTGCTGTATATATATTATATTCTTTACCTCCATTAAAAGGAAAGATAAAACCCTCTGCAAATTAAACTCTACTACATTATTTTCACAATTAAAAATTTTTAAAAATCTTGCCAGCATTTTTCAAAACCTACTCTGAAATACTCATCATTATTTTAACATCAGATTCTGTAACGAACAAACTTATATCATAATATAAAGCGGGACTGCTTTTGCTGCAGTGCATGTGATAAAAGTAAAACGCTCTAATTATTTTCAATTGAGATTGCCAGGAAATTTGGGACAGTTTACTCACTCCCCAGAATATATATATAAATAAAATTATATAATAAATGGAGAATTGCAATTTTTTCCTGAATTATATAGAGGATATTAGCTCAGAATTATAATAAATACAAATGCTGAAACTTAATGCTCATTTATTTTCATACAAAATCTCATGTGTATCTCCCATTGAAATCAATTTAATTTAAATAAATGACAGATGGAACCTACGTGCAGCCTGAGCTTTTAAAACAGCATATTCCTTGAGGATCTGGTCCAGAGAATAGCCCATGACATGTCTAGGAGGAACACAACCATTTTTCAGCAACTGCCAATAGTCCGTCAGGTGGGGACTTTCTTTAAGGAACGCAGCCAATGTGTTAACCAATCCATGGTCTTTGAAATAACCTGCAAGCAAAAGAATAACGACATACATCATGTATAGAAAAATAAGTTAATAAGATAAAATTAATAATTAATAATAAAATAATAATCATAACATAAATATATAATAATTAAATACTAAATTACTACGATTAATTTTGTCTATCAACTTTTTTTTGGGGGGGAAGGGAAGTTATTTTTTTACGGTACTTTCAACTGCATATAAGGTCATATGAGCATGCGGGACACTTTAAACATTTTCCGTTCGGTTGGTAGGAAATTTTGAATTTGCCCGGGTGGCGGTCAAAGCCTACCCTTCGATTTTGGACCCCCAAGGGATCTTTAACGTGCATACTTGCACTGGGACTTCCGAGGTTTTTCACCCTTGTCCGAGAAGGCTAGGTGTAGATCTTTCCTACCATAAGATCAGGGGTGTGGCTGAAAGACAGCAGTAAGAAGGAGCCAAGGAGTAGCAGTAGAAAGGCGACAGAAAGAGCCAGGAGCCCAGAGGGGGCAAAGGAGGTGAGGGGGGTGGGGGTAAAAGTGTAGAAGAAAACAGACGACAGAACTTTGCTAGAGAGCAGGAAAGAAGGTGACAGGAGACAACTTTCGACAAGAAAATACATGGTTCTATGCATAATAAAGCGCAGGCGTGGTTTCTGTGTGATGTATTGTAAGGCTGTGTCTATTCGGACATGTGTGTCCGTTTTTAGCTCTTTGTGTATATTTGGACACCTGTGTCCTTCAACCCTAGCATGAATACAAGTACCATTGTGGATCTTTTTCTTTTTGAGAATGACGTGCTTCACTTTCTAATTCTTTCTGAACCAATGCATCTTTGCAGTTTGCACAAAAGTGCATTACAGTTTTCTATTTATAGAATGATGAAAACCAATCATGACTGTTTCTTTTCTTGGCGTAAATCGACAAGCAATAAAATTGTTTTACTCTAAGGTATCAAATAAGCCGGCCAGCTGCAAGCGTTCCATCCCAAGAGATGAAGGAGTGTTCTTACAGAATTCAAGTCGGGATGTGGTGTATCATGTAGAAAAAAACAATGCAGACTTTTGAAACAGATATATATATGATCATCTTAACCAGATCTTTGCTAAATTAAATCTTTAATGAACAACAAATAAAATAAAAATAATAATGTAAAAACACTTTTCGCCTCTCCAGTAAAAATAAAAAAACGTGTCTCCCTACCGACGCTACTGCGCAGGCCGGACCATTCGTTGTTTACACACTTAACGATGGCAGGCCTCTCACCCTGTGCCTGCTTACAATAAATCATGGTTCAAGGAACAGAGAGCGTGTACGAATGTAATGAGACATGAGCACGAGACTAACGCTCCTGCACGACTGCAGAAGGGTAGTAAGCTATTCAGACCAAATGGGTGAGGGTGTTAAATCGTCTTAACTAGATCTAGTTTAATAATAAGGCCCTTAAAAGCAATCCAAGCTCTTTTCTTGACTTTCATTTTTTTTCTATTAATTATTCTTTCTTTTCAGGTTTTTTTTCGTGCCTCTTCTTTCTCCTTCTTGAACACTTGGGAGTTTGGAGCCAAAAAAAAGCCAGAAAGCCAAATAAAATTCTCCGGGCCAGACGAGATCCAAAAGAGCCAAATATCTGGGATTTGGCACCAAACTGACAACCCTGACGTGACTATTCGGACACGAACACCTCAGCCCTGATCCCCCTAGGACCATTTCTGGTAAAACGAGGGGGGTGAGAATGGTGAGACATGGGTTACGGAGTGTCTACGTACACGGTAACCGGGCACGTAGTCTCAGTATCTACGTACACGGTAACCGGGCACCTAGTCTCAGTATCTACGTACACGGTAACCGGGCACCTAGTCTCAGTATCTACGTACAGGGTAACCGGGTACCTAGTCTTCAGTATCTACGTACACGGTAACCGGAATGAAAATAAATCAATATTTGCTTTGTACTGTCACTTGCTGAAAAAAAAAAAGTCATATCAAGCGTCTTGTCCGGCTCGCCATCGTGACCGGTCAGTGAATCTGTGTGGACGCATCACATTGTCATTTTGTGAGTACCGGTTGGGGTCACCAAAGTTTATGCGCTGCGAATATAGGACTCTGGAATGGGGGGATTATTTTTTTTTGGTTTAAAGTACAGTCGGGGGACGGGTGGGGATGAAGGCACCCCCAGATGAACTTGGAGTTCTGGACTGCACGGTTACTGTGTACGTGACACTGAGACTACGTGCCCGGTTGCCGGTTAGGCCACCTCTATTCTCACCCCGGGTGAGAATAGTGCAGGCGAGTCTTTTGGCTATTCTCACCCGGTGCTCGTTCACCGTTATAGCCTAGATCTAGGCCAACCAATTTTGCTTTCACCCTAAACTTAAACCACAGAATTCTACACTGTAATAACAGAAAAATTGTAGAATTCTGTGCCGTGAACAAACGTTCCATTACTACTGTTAGCCTACTAAAAGCATACAATTTTGTCTGTGGGCAGTGGATAGAGAGAGAGAGAAAGAGAGAGAGAGAGAGGAGTAGCGTGATAGCGCGAGAACTTCTGGGCAAAATAATAATGGCGACCCGCGTAGTTCGGCTTGATTCGAAAACTTAAAGAGCCGTAGCATCTTTGTAGACGACCAAATTCATTTACTTTTGTGTTTTAACATCATTTTTAAACTTTGTTTTGGTCAATTTGATCGTCCACACCGATAGACAGTATTCAGAAAGAGATAGAGAGAAGAGGGGAGGAGTAGATCTTGCGAGAACTTCCGGGCAAAACAAAATGGCGACCCCCGTAGTTCGGCTCGATTAGAAAAGTGACAGCCATAGCATGTTTGTAGTCGATAAAATTAGCTTAAACTTTTGTGCTATAACGTAATCTTAATCTTTTCTTTGCCTTTATCCATTTGTTGATCATTCACATCCATATAAAGTATTCCGAAATTAGGAAAAACAAGTCTTGTTTCACACCGGGTGAGAATAGCCTACAGCCTACGGTGGCAAGTCTCACCCGGGGTGAGAGGTCGATCGTATTTCTATTCTCACCCCGGGTGAGAATAGCCACTTCCTGCCGGTTACTGTGTACACGTAGATATTGAAGCTACATGCCCAGTTACCGTGTACGTGACACTGAGACTACGTGCCTGGTTGCCGGTTACCGTGTACGTAGACACTGAGGCTAGGTTACCCCGGGTGAGAATAACCACTTCCTCAATCGATACCTTAGAGCAAGAAGGAAAATTGGACCGAAAATTGTTCTTTAGAATTAGATTAGATCTAGAAATCTAGAAGGATCGTGTCCATGTCCGAATAGACACTGGTGATGTAATATCATTGATACTGTAACTGACTGATGGGCCTGTGGCCTGTGTGTATGTTGAATCTTACCTCGCTTTGGCAGATCGAAAAACTGTCTTCAACTTCAAGATTTAAGCGAAGTTGCTGGATTAACTTAATTTTAACGGATCCGTAATTTTAAAATACATTAACAAAGAGAAGAACAAAATATAATAGATCTAGATCTAGATCTAGATCTAAAGGGAGGACTTCCGTAACGAGCGACCACTATGAGACAGAGCAGAATTGAGGGTGATCTTGTAGTTCCGTTCGTTAAAGTCCACGATCCATTTGACCATTTGTTTACATCCAGAGAAGAAATCCAGAAGTCTTGAAGACCAAATACTATTTGAATTAGGCTACACAAAGAGCAGGTGCAACCTAACTGCAAAACATCAAATTAGGATAAAATTCAGGGGGGCATGCCCCCCTGAAACCCCCCTGCTTGACTTTAACGAACAAAACTACAAAATCGCCGAATTGAGGGCTAGGGGTAAGGGTAGTCTATCTAGGCTAGGGGTAAGGGCGGGTAGGAGTAGGGTTAGGGTTAGGGTTTGGGTGATGTTCCTTCATGGCCTGCCATCAGACCAGTCCAGTCTGACAACTGTTCCACTTGAAGTTGAAGGTCTACTACAGTACTATCTAGATCTAGATCTAGATCTACATCTAGACTCTAGTTTCAGTTTCAGAATTATTTAATCTGTTATTCACCAAAATCTTTTATAGCAATAGTTTCAGTTTCAGAATTATTTAATCTGTTATTCACCAAAATCTTTTATAGCACAGCATAGCCCTGCCTCACCTACACTGCTGGCTATCAATCTCATCATTCAATTCAGATTCATAACACTTACCGACAAAAAGTCGGGCAATTTCCGATGGAAGGAAAAACGCATTTGGATCCATTTCTGGCACGACTTATCCGTGTGAGGCAAAACGATGCATAATCCATTTCACAATAATACTTTCATATTTGACAGAAATAAATCACATTGTCTTCGCGCACCGCTATTTAGTTTTGCTTCCAATGCAGTTTGTTGGCCAGTGCTTGTTGTTGTACACATGGATGCCAGATCTGTTTCAAGAATTGTGACGACAAATCGGAGCTCAGCAGACGCGAAACCAGCGAGGATTTAAAATGTCACCGTGCAGTGCAGATTGAGTATCTTGATGTAGCAAGGCGTTTGCGTAAAACATAGCCTACATATAAGCTTAATTAAAATGAAATAAGCGTTTCGTTACATTTCTACGTCAACTGAACGAAACTGCAATTAAATTCCCTTCCCCCACGAAACCTAATTATCCAATAAAACATCGAAGGCTACATTAATATTACAGATTAGTGCACGGCAGGCACTGCCAAACGTGGAGCTTTGTAGATAAATGTATTGAATCACCGGGAATTCAATCTCATTTTCTATTCTGTTCACGATTGATTTTGCATTTAATTTAACTTGCTCATGCGAGAAATGTGAATTTCATGGTCACCCAGAGTCTCTCATTTAAATTGTTTTAGTGCTTTTTTCTGTTCCTTTTCTCCATTTTATTATTTTTTAAAACGAAAAAATCCTAACACCAACGAACACAAAACAAGAACAGCTCACCTGCAAAAAACAACAACAACAACAAACAACAACAACAAAACAACAACAAACTAACAGACAAAACAACAAACACTTAACTCTGAAAACAGTACCGGGTATAAATGAACTGCATTATAAGCTAGTGTGCTAGGCTAGTGCTTCCAAACGTAGTCAATCAGTTATTCTAGCTTTATTTGCCAGAATGTCATATTGGTTAAACACCCGAATTCATTTAGAAAATGGAAACAATTCACAAGTATAGACGAGAAGAAGATGAAAAAAAAACAACCGAACTTCCATTATTTTGAAAAAGAGATTATGAGTATTGTAGTGACACCAGCAGGCTGACATGACATGATGGACAACTTTCATATTATAGTGCTTCGGATCCTCGTTTGCAGTTCCAACAATGGAGATTTTGTTTATTTAGCTGTTTGTTTGCCACTTGCGCGTCATAAAACGTAAAAAGAAGAGGCTATATTTGTGGTGTTGAGGATAGCAAAATAAATGAGAATCTGTATCGACTATATTTCGTATTTTGGAGAGCTTTTAGAGTTGCAGAAAGTAACAAAAGCTTTGATTTCTTGAAAAGCGAGGCGTTCACAAGGCAATATGCCAAAACACGCAAAAGTTTCGTATAATCCGCTATATTTTCCAAATGGGCATTATGACATATGTCACGATTTTAATGGCGGTAAAAATTACTAGCCAAAAACAAAATTACGATTTTTGTTTTGGCGGGCATAATAGGCGTTGTATACAAATTTTATGCTGATATCATTGTACAGATTTAAGAATTTAGACTAATTCTGGTCATAGATGCATTAACTACTCTAAGTACATCTTGATTAACGGCTTTTTATTTAAGATATTACTCTATAAATTTTGCAAGGGACAATGACAAAAAAATCTGGGAAAATAAAATCTTGGAAAATTTACAGTTTACTCGTTTTCTTCGTGTTTCGTTTCCTCGTCCTGTAGGCTATAGAGCCTAGTCAAGGAGCTTACTGTAACCTCCTTGAGGCTAGTGCAAACACTCACACACACGTGACACGCACGCACACACACACACACACAC